CGCGAAGTCGAGCACTTTACGGTAGCACAGTTTAACGAGGACCAATACCGCACACCCTCGGTCCCTACGCAGACTGATCCAAGTGGTCACCCACCCGCACACTGACCGTAGCCAGTGATGCTTGACTTCGGTGATCTGCTGGGAATCGTGTCTTAACGATCAGTCCACTGCGGGACTATAATATATATTTATTAACCAAATTAATCTTTTTTACATTTCAATCAACATATTTTCGTCAATATTTTCTGTTAAACATTTCTAACATGGGAGTTGTTGCTGTTAATTTACGTCGCACTAGAGCTGCACAATGGGCTATTGGCGACGGTCTGGGAAACATCCCGGAGGATGATCCGAAGACATGCCATCACAATTTCGATCCTCTGCGGGGGGGGGATGACATCCCCGCTTCGGTAGCCCGAAGACCTGCGCGCGAAGTCGAGCAATTTACGGTAGCACAGTTTAACAAGGACCAATACCGCACACCCTCGATCCCTACGCAGACTGATCCAAGTTGTTACCCACCCGCACACTGACTGCACCCAGTGATGCTTGACTTCGGTGATCTGCTGGGAACCGTGTCTTAACGATCAGTCCACTGCGGGACCATTAGAAAGTTCATATCGAAAGCGCAAAATAGCATCAGCTGTAGTTATACACATTTATTTCTCAATTTGTCGTTAATAATATTTAATGTGGAGAAACATCTCTCCACAGCTGCATATGAAAACGGAATACTTAATAAAGCTAAAACAAGAGTCGAAATATGTTTGAATTTTTAATTTCCCCACGAATTTTTAATTTCACTGATTTTTACCCATAAAGATTCAGTAGGATCACAATTCAAATCATCTACATTTGAGAGTAAATTCCACTCAGCAAATATTTCATCGACATCATTGGATGGATGGCCTATCATGTAAACAATAACAAGCGTCCTTAAACCGGAAGAAATTAAGAAAATTTCCGGTGTATCCCTCCGCTTATGTTATGACTACGAGGCGATGTGTGAACAAGCCTAATATTCTATGCAGTTTTGTTATTGTAATTTAGGTTCAAATCTAAACATAATTGTACCATTCATTAGAGCTTTCAGGAATGTATTGATTCTCAGAGGTCCTAAGGCCAAAAAAAATTTTGGAAAGTTAATATCTCATTGTGAATAATTCTTAAAGTTTGCCATGTTTTGTATTTTATCCCTTATTTGGCTACATTTGAATAAAATGTCGCCAAAAATATCTTTTTAAGTTAGCCTAATTAGAAAATATTCTAATGATTATAATATTAATATGATAATGCTGAAGTTTAAAAGCTTAAAGAAAGAACTTGGTATATATGAAATACTGCAAAAGATATGATGCAATAATATGATGGCGCGTTTTTTCAATCTGCGGCGTAAAAATATATCGGAAGCAGTAACCCGGAAAACTTGCGAGAGCAATTTAACCACTAGCGCCACCACCCTTAGCTTTACACGATCACCCATCCATACAAATTGATGAAAATTTAGCAACAATATCTGTAATACCTGCCATAACAAATTTACGTGTTGAATCCGGTGAAAATAGACTCTAATGTTTTAAAATTGTTTGGTATTCTGTTCTCAATTTCATTGCACAATTTAACAACAAAAATTATGCATTCTTTAACATTACGTATAATTTCGGAATCAATATTTACTGCAAAAGAATTAAAGTCGTAGCGAAAATCCGAACAAAAGGGATGCATTGCATTAAAAACGACTCAAAATTGAAATTATGCATTGATCATTGCTCACTTTACTTAACTATTGCGGTACAATGACTTGCTGTAAAAGAAAAAAAAATTAACTCATGTAAATCCTCGAATAATTTTACAGGATCGACTTGATTTGACTGAAACAATTTAGTGACTTTTTTTTAAATAAAATAAATATGCGTCAAATACAATTTGTTTTCAGCGGCTTTATGCAAAATATATAACACTAGGAGGCTTCGCTCCCTGCTTGCTGTCGCTCGCCAAACCCCGGAGCTGCTTTCGCAGTTCGTTTCGGATGGCTTCGCAATCCGATGCTCGCTTTGCTCGCTCATTGGATACTTTCTTAACGTCCAGCTTTTGTATACTTTTTTGAACACTAAAGTTCCGAAAACTTTTCACTGTGGAAAATTCTAAACCTGTGCATTTCAATATTAATTTGAAATTGCAAACAATTCACATATTTTTCTTAATCACACTATTCTAAATTTCAGTTGTTGAGAAAAGTAACTGTTGTAAGTTTTGTTTTGAAGTCTTTCCCAACAGAGGGCTAAAACCATGTGTTGTAAAACAATATGAAATAGTACTGAAAGCCGGATGTAAAGCATCGGCTTCGATGAAGATAATTTTGTGAGAATTTTTTTGATAATTCGGTGAGAATTCACCCGATTAGACATATATTGCTCACTACGTGCTCTTGCGCGCCGAAGCCTATCAATTGGGTATAATATGAAAAAAGCACAACTACTTCCACTTACTAGGAATAACATTTACCTTTTAGTTTAATTAATAAACTGAGTTTTAAATATGCTTAATAAATTCATAAATATCATCGGTTTTATTGATACATACGTATTAGCGTTTTATATAATATAGATTTGATATTAGAACGAAACCAAATTGAAACTAGTAAAATTCGCAAGTAACCCTAAAAGAAACCCCTAAAAACAAATCCCGCTAAGATACCCACTGAAGATAAAATATCCCCCTAAATTTACGGGGGAAACCCCTAATCTGGCAACACTGCATATGAGCCCTTTTTAGGCCCACACCACAGGCTCTTCCCAAGAGATCTTCATACCGATTCTGTGTCTTAATATGATATAAAACTGATGGCGCCATCTACCAATTTTAAATTTAAATAAATACTTTATTATACATTTCTAAATAATTATAAATAAACGAATATTTTTTAAAATACTATTTTTTGTTATCTGATTGTATTTTTTAATGCAAAATTGACGTATTTAGTGTCTGATACATTATCTTAACCTATAATTTTCAGACTACGTCAGGTTACATCAAGTTACATATTATATCATACTATACTCTCACAGTTAAGAATATAGTTGTAGATTAATTATGGGTCCAAAATGTGGCACTACATTTAAAAATTATATTCAGTTAATATAATGTTTTTAGTTAAAAAATTTTTTTAATATATCTCTCCTTGATTTCAACCCATAATATTTATATTGGACCAGGTCATATACTACCGGGTATTAGCGTATCCTACCAGAGGAAATAATTATGGGTTTATTAAGGGGCCTAGAATGTGGTCCTATAAGTTACTCTGTATGCATATACATAAGAGTGCGTTAAATAGCGTTAAAATGAGGAAATTCGTAGTTAATATTCTTTATCAACACATGTCACGAAATCTCCCCTTAATATTCACCCATAATATTCATATTGGACCAGGTATTAGATTAACGGATATTATTATACCCTACCTGAGGAAATAATTATAGGTTCATTAGGGGGCCTAGAATGTGGTCCTATAATATACTATGTATGCATATACACAATAGTGTGTTAAATAGCGTTAAAATGAGGAAATTCGAAGTCAATATACTTTATGAAGACATGACACAAAATCTCTCCTTAAATATTGACCCATAATATTCATGTTCGACCAGATATTATATTACCGGGTATTAGTGTACCCCACCAGAGGAAAAAATTGGAAGTTTATTAAAGGGCCTGGGATTTGGTCCAATAAGTTACTATGTATGTATATATACATACCTGCCAACTCTTCCGGATTTTCCGGAAGATTTTATTTTCATATTTAAAATGGTAGTAAATATATACTATTTTTTCTTTTCTAATCTTAATTTTTTAATGATTTTAATCACCACTATTCTTAGAAAAATTAAGCAGATATATTAATATGCGTTACTATCATGGTTGTCAACTTAAGTTTTCTCAAATACAACGTATTTGTTTGCTTAAAGTTGAAGTTTTAATTCCATTTTAATACCATTGGGAAAAATGATAATGGAAGGGATTAAAAGTTGGCAGGTATGTATACATAAGAATGAATTAAATAGCGTTAAAATGAGGAAATTCGAAGTCAATATTTATCACAACATGTCCCAATATCTCATCTTAATATTGACCTGTAATATTCATATTGGACCAGGTATTATATTACCGGTTACTAGTGCGTCCTACAGTAGAAAGTAATTATAGGCTGAGAGGGCTTTTGAAGCGAAACTGAGGCAGGCTTGACGTATCACCGTGGACTGGGTGGTAGACCGTCGGTCAAGCAAGTTTGCTGCTGGAGGGAGGGGTCCTGGGTTCGAATCCCACGGATGGACGAGCTTTCAAAAAATTTCCTCTTTTGTTTATTTTACGTTATATTATTTTTTAATGTGTTTTTCGTTATTCTGGAGGGTGAAGGAAATAATTTTTTTAATGGGAAATAGGAAAAAACTGGAAAAATCCAGGAAAATCAGTTTATTTCCGCTTTTTCGACTCCTTTTGCAACATTTTGGATATTCTAGCATGCGTGGGGTGTTTCGTGTGTAAAATCCAGC